CAGTCAATTAAATTATTTAAAGAACAGAAATTTAAAAAAAAAGCATACTCTGTATTTAAAAACAAGACAATCGCATTCACTAGCAAACAGCAATACATTTTCATACAAATAGAAATTAAGGGGAAATGACTCAAAATAATACTTTCTTAAGATGGCCGCTGTTTTTTATAGCAAATTTAGTATCTGGAACATCGTTGTTAAACGTTAATTTCATGATATTTTTATTGATTTAACCTTAAATTATGGTTTAATATTCAATTATCTTTAGTATTTTAATACAATATACAAAAATATATTCATATTTAAGCCATATTCATTAGTTACCTTATCCCTACATTACTAGCACCGGCCGAATTGATTACGCTAAAACGATAGATTACCTTATTTTCTACTTTTTAGTGCATCATTACATAAAAGCTTGTTATTAAAACGTTTTTTATGAATTTTTTTTTCAGTACTTTACAGGTTTTATTTACAATAGAGTTACATGACTAAAAACCATTGCGCACCTACTGAACATCACGTTCAGTAGGCGCGCAATGGTTTTTGAACGCAGCCATTACGTGATGACGCGTGTGGTGTGGTTGGCTAGACATGCCTACTAATTCGGTCCAAATTTTATTAATTCATAAAAAATTAATTAGGCATCCAATTAAGTCAAATTTAGTTTCAGATTGCATTGTCTTCATGTCTTGACCCACATGTCAAATGTGAATCGTATCGGTCAAGTAGAACTGTCCGAATTTTCACTCCTGCGTTTCCGTCTAGACAGACAGACAGAGGAAGTGAGTTAAATAAAAGCTTGTAATAAAAGAAATAAATTTAAAATTAGTGAGTAGGCCTATCGCTAATATTATTATATTAATAATTAATATATAGGACAGAAAATAACTTTAAACAGCAGTGTCTGCGAGCAAGATTTGCTCTATTATAGCAGCCATTTGTAAAATAGAGTGGCTTCCCCCTGAATCTAGCGCTGTAAGTTTATAAAAATAAAACTTAAACAAGATGGCTGCTATAGTAAATGAGCATGGTTGCATCTGTTGGAAACATCGCTTGATTTATTACTGAAAAGTTTTAATTCAATTATTATTGTTTAAAAACAGGTACATAAATGAAACAAGGAAACATTTTTGAATTTTTTAAAACATAAATCCACATCAACATGTGAAATAATTAAATTATTATATTAAAATTTGTAATTTTAAATTTAAGGTAGATTTTCTTACTAAATCTAGAATTTACCCAAATTTCAAATTAAACATGACTACTGAATGATAGACATCCATATTTAATCCATTAGGGACTAATTTTGAAGTTTTTAGTTCGTTTTAAACTAAATTACTTAATTTAATATTTATTGACACTCACTGCCATGGACAACACATCTCTCCATGACAACTCTTCTTACCCCTGAAGGCACTTGAAGCTAAAGAGAACCACAAATGCGGTTAGACTTTTTGAGTGGCCATGTACCCAGAGTTCCCCACTAGTGATCATCAAATAGCAGTCACGTGGTCAAAAAAATAAAAAAAATTTGGTTGTCATTTTTTTACCACTCATATAAAAAAAAGGGTTGAAGATATTTGATTTATTTTTTCATAGAATGATAAAACTAATAATGCTTTAGTATGGAAATCAGTTTTGTAATATGGAAATCGATATTTAAAAAGTTCTAGTATTTCTTATGAAACCAACTTTTAAATTTAGCCTTCATTCTCCAACGCAAATTTTAAAATGCTTTTCTGGCATATATAGCCCTGCCACCTATAGCTTGTTGTTATAACGTGAAAGTCCCGCCATTTTGCGCGTGGCAAACATTTTAAAAACTAATTAGTAGAAGGTCTCTGGAATTTGGCCGAAAAATCGTCGGAAGTCAAGCGTCCGGTCCGGGCGCCATATTGTTGTTAGCAACCGACCACGCCTCCAAGTTAGCGAGTAATACTAATTTAAGGCTTTAAGGTGTCACCTGATTTTCACATTACAAGTCGCTGGCGATTTTAGGTACCCAAAACGATAGATTACAGCTAATCTATCGTTTTAGCCTAGTTTTAGGTTTAGGTATGTCACCGTATGTAAAATCAGCAGAGGCTAGTGTAATAAAAGTGTAATAGTAATGTGCAAGAAAGGTGACTCATCATTATTAAATATTAGGCTACGCCTATTCATTAAATTGTAGGCCTACCTTATTATTATTTTATTTATAAACAATACCCATGAAAACTAGAGATATATCTCTAACTACTAACTACATTTGATGGTTTTAGCTAATTTGTAAATTTGGGGCTAAAATACAGGATTTTAATAATTGGTGCTTTTTAGCTTAGCTGGGACAGCTTTTTCAGTGACAATCATTCTTAGATCTGGTCCACAAAATTGACAGGAGAGGGACCTTGGATGTTAGTAAGGATCAAGTGAGGGTGGAGTGTCGGTATGTGTCAATAAAACATAATTGAAAGGATGCTCGTAATTTGGTTATGTCATGTAACATATTTACTATTTTTTTAATATAGGCTAATGAATAATCCAAAAATAATCACGTTTAAAAGGTTTAAGAATATATAATATATATCTAGATCTAAACTTTTAAAAGATATTCATATGCATGTTTATTTCAGTTTTGATTAGGCTTAATTAGTGTGTTTTAGCAATGTTTAATCAGGGCAATTTATAAATGATAGCTATGTCATTGTAAAATAAATCTAACCCTCCTCCCTTACTGGACTTGAAACCTGTGTGTTATTCACAAAGCTTTGTCCATGCTGAGTTTAGAATATTGTTAAGATTTGTATCTATTTTTTTTAAACAGTAATCGCATTAAAATTGATCAAGTTAATGAGAAATGCATTCTAAACAGCATCACTGGCAGTGCGCATGACAGGCATCTCGCTTGCGTAGTGACAGACAGATGCTCACTCAAGTAGTTTTGTCAACCAGAAAAGTTAACCTATCAAATACAGTTCATCAGACCTATAAAATTAAGAGGCCTATCACATTAAAATGATCGCCTGTGACAGAAAGATATAGGCAAATTACAAACATTGCAGCCCACCTGTGTTCTTTTGTAAACCAGTGAGAGAAAACTCAAAGCACAGTATGAGCGTGTTCTAAATCTAGTCCATAACTTTGTTAGCCCAAGTTCTAATTAGTAATTCTAATTACTAAGTACTAATTAGTAATGTAAGCCTAGACCCAACACTAAAATCATTTAATTTTTCAGTATATGAACAAAGAACAGTGAGAATAAAATATTATTAGACTAATATTAGACTAATTAATAATATTAGACTAATTAAAATCTATGAAATCAATAAGAATTAACAAAAATTAATTATAACACATTTGAAAACAACAAATAATTAGGCATAAATATTTGTAAATAAGCACACAAAGGCTAATGCTCAATAATTTCAGGGATTAACACAGATTAAAAAACAAAATAATAGATTGTTGTAGGGGCTTTTAGAGTCATAGTATAATCCAAAAGCCAGGTGAAAGATCCATAATGAGACTTAATTAGCCTAATTACGCTAGCAAAATAGGTAAAAAAAAAGTGTCAAGTAAAAAGAAAACTTATGTAAGCAGTGACAGAGGATACTGCTATACAGCTTCCGTATCAATAGCAATGACGTCACTCACAAAAAAAATATTGTTTACTTGACATATCAATAGCAATGACGTCACTCACAAAAAAAATATTGTTTACATGACGTATCAATAGCAATGACGTCACTCAACAAAAAATATTGTTTACTTGACATATCAATAGCAATGACGTCCCTCACAAAAAAAATATTGTTTACATGACATATCAATAGAAATGATGTCACTCACAAAAAAAATATTGTTTACTTGACATATCAATAGCAATGACGTCACTCACAAAAAAAATATTGTTTACGTGACATGTGGGTGATTTTTTTTTCTCTAAATGAGTATAGAATATTTACAATTTTAATTCAGAAACCGATCAATCTAATAATACCCTACCTAACAGTGCAAGTTTGGAACTTTACAGATCGATATTTTAAGTTTTTAAGCAACTTAAAACTTTACCCATGTTTATGTTTGACCTTCATTGTTGGAAGCTAATTAAATTTTTTTCTGGCAAAAATAACTTTGTCATCTTCAGGTAGCATAAAAATACGCTTAAAATCTCTGCCATTTTTCACGTGATAATCATTTTTTAAAAACCAAATTCTAAGAAAGTCACTTTACTATTAAGCAAAATTTTCAAAAAACGTGTCTGGTTTTGGGTGTTCAAACAAAATATGTAGGCCTGCTATAATTTTTTTTTTTTACACGATCTATCTATAGTTGTTTTTTAACAGTTGTAAAGGTCCTTGAAATTTTAAAAAAACCTTGAAATGCAGTGTTTGTGAAAATTGCTGCTGTCTCTGCACTCATCCTATTTTCTCCTCCCACCACTTGTAAAAAAAAATCAGCTATTTGCTTTAGGGGGAGGTGGGGCGCTAGATTTTTGACATCAGTATTAGCATAGTTACTTCTGAAATCTTCTTCTTCATAATGAAATATATGTGTCACCTGGTTATGTGCCATTGAAGCCATTGACTCTGATTTCTTCGTGCTTTTCTTTTTGGATTTGCTTCCATAGCTTTTGTCCACCCAAGAACAAACTACAAGGCAGAAGTTGTTTGATTTTGGAGTTGTTTCTCCTAGAAGAGTGGCTGCCCTCTGCTAACGAGCCTCATCTGCCCGAGTGTTCAAACTTGAGACATATCGGTTTAGCAACCATGAGCTTTACCGACTCGACCACAACAACCCCACTTCTGAAGTGATTTCTTAGTAAAAATAACGTTTCTTTAATCCTGCGATGTGTACTTACGAATTTCCACAATATTTTTTTTTACGTCAGCGCGCATATCAAGGTGGGGGACATTGGTGGTGAAATGGTGCAACATAAGGTTTTAGATTTTGATGTGGAAATTAGCCATATACCTGGGTATGTTGTAAAAGCAGGCATACGACAGTGTACATTTGTGTTGTAGGCCTACCACTTGTTATAGTTCAGGCCTACTAAAAAAAAATTCTTAGATATTTCTACACATTTCTATATTACCAACAGTAGAAAAAGTGACCACTGCCACTATAAACAGAGTTGTTTGTATTGTGGTTTACATGCATGGGGTAGGTCTAGAGATTGTACTAACATTTTAAACTAATTATGTTGTATTATATATTGGATATATATATATATATATATATATATATATATATATATATATATATATATATATATACATAATCACCACTTTAACATTTAAATATCTAATCCTCAGTTCATTTATAAGAAGCAGCATGGGAGAGGCAACTGCTGATTTAGATTTACAGTCTGATGAGTTTAAAGAATTTTCAAATTCTGAAGATGTGAAGCCACTTCTATCTACAGTATTTTCATCTTCTTCTGACATAAAAACGGAATTATCATTTTTAACTTTCCGTGATATCAAACCAAACTTGACATTTATAAATTCACAGGATGATAAAACCGTTGTTACGCCAGATTTTTCATCTTCTACAGACACAAAGTCAGAATGTACAACATTTTCCTCTTTTGCTGATGTAAAACACCATATGACATTTCTAACTTCTCAAGATAAAACAACAGGGTTTTTAATTTTTAAAGATATGGAACCTGCTGTATCAGCAGTATGTACAAGATCTGAAGATATAAAACCAGAATTAGCAATTTTATCAACTAGTGAAGATATAAAACCAGAATTAGAAACTTTATCAACCAACACAGAATTAGAAATTTTATCAACTACTGAACATATAAAACCAGAATTAGAATATATATTAACTAGTGAAGATCTAAAACGAGAATTAGAAACTTTATCAACTAGCGAAGATATAATACCAGAATTAGAAACTTTATCAACCAACACAGAATCAGAAATTTTATCAACTACTGAAGATATAAATCCAGAATTAGAAACTTTATCAACCAACAAAGATATAAAACCAGATTTATGGACAAAATTTTTAGATTCCGAGGACAAACAACAAAATGGACTTGAAGAAAAGCTAAAACTCTCTGAAGATGAAACATATCTGTCTGTTGATCCTCGTGCTCATCATGAACAGTTTTTTCAAAGATCTAACTTGAATAAACAAGCTCAAGTAGGGGAGAAGCCACTTGAATGTGATGCTTGCCATAAAAGGTTTTCAGATAGTTCTAGGTTAGATGAACATAAAAAAGTTCATTCAGAAGATAGGCCATATGAATGTGATTATTGTCATAAAAAGTTTTCTAATAGTTCTGCTCTAAGCAGCCACAAAAAAATACATTTACTAGTTAGACAGTATGAATGTGATGTTTGTCACAAAAGGTTTTCAAGGAATTCTTATTTAGCGGAACACAAAAAAATTCATTCAGGAGATAAACCATTTGAATGTGATGTTTGTCATAAAAAGTTTTCATATAGTTCTAATTTATATATACACAAAAGAGTTCATTCAGGAGATAAACCATTTGAATGTGATGTTTGTCAAAAAAAGTTTTCTCAGAGTTCTAATTTATATGCGCACAAACAAGTTCATTCAGAAGATAAACCATTTGAATGTGATGTTTGTCATAAAAAGTTTTCATATAGTTCTAATTTATATGCACACAAAAGAGTTCATTCAGAAGATAAACCATTTGAATGTGATGTTTGTCATAAAAAGTTTTCTCAGAGTTCTAGTTTATATAAACACAAAAGAGTTCATTCAGAAGATAAACCATTTGAATGTGATGTTTGTCATAAAAAGTTTTCTCAGAGTTCTAGTTTATATAAACACAAAAGAGTTCATTCAGAAGATAAACCATTTGAATGTGATGTTTGTCATATAAAGTTTTCACATAGTGCTATTTTATATATACACAAACAAGTTCATTCAGAAGATAAACAATTTGAATGTGATGTTTGTCATAAAAAGTTTTCTCAGAGTTCTAGTTTATATAAACACAAAAGAGTTCATTCAGAAGATAAACCATTTGAATGTGATGTTTGTCATAAAAAGTTTTCTCAGAGTTCTAGTTTATATAAACACAAAAGAGTTCATTCAGAAGATAAACCATTTGAATGTGATGTTTGTCATATAAAGTTTTCACATAGTGCTATTTTATATATACACAAACAAGTTCATTCAGAAGATAAACCATTTGAATGTGATGTTTGTCATAAAAAGTTTTCTAGAAAAAATAAAACAGTTCATACTGGAGATAAGCCAGATGAATGTGATGATTGCCATAAATATGTTTCTAAAATAAAGCGGCTCCCGACATATTGGCTCCCGATATAAGTGCTCAAGACAAATGGGCTTTTGACAAAATGACTCCCGACATATTGGCTCCAGACCAATGAATGGCATGACCACTATTGGCATAAAAGTAACGATTTTGTCCTTCCTCCAATACCACTATATACTCTTTTAAATGCCCGAATGAAATTGTTTTTCATGAACCAACATTAATTCACAAACAAAGCGAGCCCTTAACAGCTAAATTTCACCAATTTTAAAGTTTTGATAATGTTTAATTTACAACAGAAAAGATCTGTTGCTTAAAAGCGAGCACAGAAGTGTAAATGTACGGATATGTATATATATGTATATTTATGTATATATATGTGTATATATATATATATATATATGTGTGTATATATGTTGGCTGGTATCCTAATGTTGGCTGGTTATTGAATAGTTGTCACAGGTTGCTTGTTTTTTGTGTGTAGTTATATTCGTGGTTGGTCGTAGCTGGATCGGGGTAATGTTCTCCCCTTCTCTCAAGACGCCGCCCGGTTCTCACAGCACTGGGTTCTGGCAGGGTGTGACGATGTCACGGATAATTTACGAGGTTCACAGTCGTGGATTGTGACCGGACCCTAGGTGTGTGCATGCTTTGTGTTCAATTTTATGTCCTGTCTCCCCAATGGTCGTCTGCTTAAATTTACGACCGTAATGTCGCGACGGTCAGTTCGGCTTAAACAGGTGGTCTGAAAGTGTGGGAAAAAGTTTGTTTGGATTCAGCCTATTTAAGAGGACTGTGTTCAGACCTCTGTCTCTTACACACCAAGCTAGGGCTATAGACCAGTCTAGGCCTTATGATGGCCGCAGAGGCTGGTTTAGTGGCCCAGCTGAGGTATTGTTGATATGGCCTGGTGTTTACACCAGCGGCCCAACGCCTCGTTCCAGTGGCCCGATATTATGCTCGTGGCCTGATGTCTCGTTCTTGTGGCCCGATATTATGCTCGTTGCCTGATGTCTCGTTCTTGTGGCCCGATATTATGCTCGTGGCCTGATGTCTCGTTCTTGTGGCCCGATATTATGCTCGTGGCCTGATGTCTCGTTCTTGTGGCCCGATATTATGCTCGTGGCCTGATGTCTCGTTCTTGTGGCCCGATATTATGCTCATGGCCTGATGTCTCGTTCTTGTGGCCCGATATTATGCTCGTGGCCTGATGTCTCGTTCTTGTGGCCCGATATTATGCTCGTGGCCTGATGTCTCGTTCTTGTGGCCCGATATTATGCTCGTTGCCTGATGTCTCGTTCTTGTGGCCCGATATTATGCTCGTGGCCTGATGTCTCGTTCTTGTGGCCCGATATTATGCTCGTGGCCTGATGTCTCGTTCTTGTGGCCCGATATTATGCTCGTTGCCTGATGTCTCGTTCTTGTGGCCCGATATTATGCTCGTGGCCTGATGTCTCGTTCTTGTGGCCCGATATTATGCTCGTGGCCTGATGTCTCGTTCTTGTGGCCCGATATTATGCTCGTTGCCTGATGTCTCGATCCAGTGGCCAAATGTCTCGCTCTGGGGCCAGATGTTTGTTTTGGAGGACGGATATGTTGTCCTTGTGGCTGGGGAATCACCCTGCCTTTTGTGTGTGACGAACTGGGTCGTGTAAGGAACTCGTATACATTCATGAAAGGATAAAATTGTGGTTGTATCTAAAAATGTAAGTGATTTATTTTTTTTTAATTTTTACATGTATTAAGAATTCGAGGGATGTTTCTTTTATTATGAAAACCGGCCAGGTCTTTTTTGTATCCTTTTGATTTTGCTTGTAAAATACATTTTTGTGAAGTAGGATGAAGTTAAATAAATGCATTAACTGGGTGTTTACCAAGTTTTATTTTTAGTGTAAAATTAATGTTGTATTTGTTTAGATGTTAATTAGTTTTGCTCAGGTCTATTAGACTCCTTTGTCACCACGCAAAGGTGCACGAATTTGAGAGAATAATGGTCAATACCATCTTACCATGTATTAAGAATTCGAGGGATGTTTCCTTGATTATGAAAACTGGCCAGGCCTTATTTGTATCCTTTTGTTTTTTGCTTGCAAAATACATTTTTTGTGAAGTAGGATGAAGTTAAATAAATGCATTAACTGGGTGTTTACCAAGTTTTATTTTTAGTGTAAAATTAATGTATTTGTTTAGATGTTAATTAGTTTTGCTCAGGTCTATTAGACTCCTTTGTCACCACGCAAAGGTGCACGAATTTGAGAGAATAATGGTCAATACCATCTTACCATGTATTAAGATTCGAGGGATGTTTCCTTGATTATGAAAACTGGCCAGGTCTTATTTGTTTCCTTTTGTTTTTTGCTTGTAAAATACATTTTTGTGAAGTAGGATGAAGTTAAATAAATGCATTAACTGGGTGTTTACCAAGTTTTATTTTTAGTGTAAAATTAATATTGTATTTGTTTAGATGTTAATTAGTTTTTCTCAGGTCTATTAGACTCCTTTGTCACCACGCAAAGGTGCACGGATTTGATAGAATAATGGTTTATACCATCTTACCATGTCTCTCTTTTAATCGGTTAACAAAAACAACCCTCCCCTTACAGTTTGGTGTCAGAAGTGCGATCGCAGATGATCCCTCTTTCTCGAACTAAATCCCCCTAACATATATATTTATATATATATATATATATATATATATATATATATATATATATATATATATATATATATATATATATATATATATATATATATATATAAATAATTATAAACTAGCCGGCCAGGCACCAGAATTTTTTCCATGCATCTACCGCCCCCTCTCCCCCCATGACTATCAGTATCTTGTTAAGGACGATAACTATCAGTGATAGTATTTTAAAGCAAATATTTTCAGTGGCAGCATTGGTACAGTCGACTTCTCAAATTATGAATTACTGAGAAGTAGCTTTTTTTTTTTGTTTTTAAGAATGTAGCAAAACTGTTTAATAAATTAAATAATACATTTTCAAAATGAAAGATTAACATCTTGTACATGCAGATCTAGGTGATGATTAGCGAAGAGAAAATGTGGTACAAAAACATATCATGACTTAATTTGCTGTTTCTTTTTAATGCCCGCCAGAAGATATCAAAGAATGTAAGCTTCTTGTCAACATTATTATCAGCTTCATTCTTGATATATGAATACAGATTTTTAAAATAAATTAAACACTAATTATAAATTAAAAGATTTGTTATTAAGTTTCAAACAGAATGTTGAGTAAAAGTTTTAACCTAATAATAGGAACAATCTTTGAAAAATGTCCTACAAGTCTATAGTTTAAATAAAGCTGGACATTAATTTCACACAAAAACAGCTTCAATAACATGTCTGTATAACTGAATCTATGAATAGAAATACAATATCCCATTTAAATGTCTGGAAATCTTATTGGAGCAACTACTTGTACTCAGCAACAACTAATGCCGTTGTGTCATTTATTAGCTTTGTAAATTATTTAAGAAACTGAGATTTTTTTTGTTTTATCATTGAAAAGTACAATTATCTGTTAAAAAAAAAATGGTGAGTTTACAATTGAAAATTCAGATCTTATATAAATATGCATTACTTGTGGAGCTATTGCTGCTAAACTCAAATTATTACAAACCAAACGAAACTCATTAAACACTTTAATCGCTGCAGTAAAATGATAATATTTACTGGTCGTCAAAACATACTGACCAAAATGCAAAACATTTTTTCTATTAAGCGTATTAACTTAAGCAAATTAAATAAATAAAAACAATACACAACATAATTGACAGTAACAGCTTATAAAAGTAGGCTTATAAATCTGAGTGCGAAATATCTGTGTTACTATAAATATTTTAAACAAAGTGGGTTTCTAAGCGCCACTAAAACTCTTTAATTTTAAATGTTGCAGTTGGGAATACACTCCAATAAAAAGAATGTATTTTGTATTTGAACATTATATGCTTTTCATATAGTTCTTCCATAATATTTAACTGGCAGAATCATATATATATATATATATATATATATATATATATATATATATATATATATATATATATATATATATATATATATATATATATATATATATAGTATATATATATAATATGACTAAATGTAGCTGCTGTCATACAAGTTTGGCCAATTCAATCTGATTCTTTATTTGTTTCATTGTACTCAATAATTCCTTGAATTTTGTTAAGGTCATTTCCACTGGTCTGTTGACTGCGTTTCCACTCTCTTCAGTGGTCACCAACATCATTGTTACCATTGGTTCATTTAAGCTTCTGACATCATTACTGCTAACTGCCATACTGACTTTCCACTTGATATCAACATCTGTCACCTGAGCAACATATTCTGTTCCTGGCATAGTTTTGTATTTTTTTTTAAAATAGTTAAGCTGTTCTGTTTGGTAGATAGGGCAATAACAAGACAATGAATGTGCCAGTAGGGAAGATCTTAGAATTTTTTAAGATCTATTCTGTAACTCAACATCAACCAGTTATCATGAGTTATCTAGCCTGAACCTGGCCAGTACCAGAAAATCTAGTCTGCTAAACTGCTGGTACTGGTCTTGCCAGAGTCCATATCTAGATTCTAGTAATAGTTGAACAGGCCGAATTAAAAAGAGCTAAGATTAAAAATCTAATTAGCTTATAAAACATCTTTTTTTTTTTTTTTTTTTATGTGACTAAAAACAAAGGATTTTAATCAAGTTTCCAGATACAATGCATTCAATGCCACCAAACCTAGTCATATAAATAAACATCTTAATGAATAAGTGAACTCCGAATAACAATGAGATACAAGTGTATATAGATGAAAAAACCCATGTGTGCAAGTCAGTATAACTAGAGGTACAAACAGATGCTCACAATATTTAGCTTCAACTAAATTACTAACAATGCCTTGGTCTCCACCTCTTCAGTTATGGCAGGAGTAATTTTATTTTTTACCTAACAATTCACTAAAACTAAAATGATATACCAATCAATTATTCGGCTATCACAGAGACTTATCTACACATTATCACATACTATTAACAATCAAATTCAGGCTAATAAATATCTTACCTGCAAATAGATATACCTAACTTTCTAAAAAAAAACATGCCTAGAAGGAAACAAATTATGTAATGTTGAAAAATAAATGCAGAAGAGTAGATGTTTAAACAAATTGTATCTGCAGGATAAATAAATTAAAAGCATGAGCTGTCTGTGTCAATAATTAAATAAACATTAAGAATTCTACCCTTTACATAAAATATACAGATAAAGGTACAGAGGACTAAATTTACAGCTTAACATTCTCATGAAGTTGCACTTCTATCCTAAAGAGACTTTGTTGAATAGCGTCCATAGCTTTAGCACGGTTTTGTTTCAGCATGACATCCAACTCTTTAAACTTTTTAGTTGTTTCTACCTGAATCTGTGCCTCACTGTTACTTTTTTTGCCAAGGATCTCTTGTTCATACTGTTTGTAGTGATTCTCCTTCTCGTTTTTAAAGGCTAGGATTTCTGAATCTGCTTCCTTTTTTGCAGTTTTGATTCTCTGAGCTTTTCGTTTTCTTGCTTCGACTACTCTTTCTGATGCTTTTTTCTCTGCGATTAGAAGTTGCTGAATCCCTTCTGTTTTCTGGGCCATTTTGACTTTGTAATTAAGATAAAATTCTGAAAGAGTATCACTTAGGGTTTTTATAAAACATTTTTTTTTTTTTAATAAAACATCTAAACGAACACTTTAAAAGAACGCTCAACATCTCTTTAATACTGGCTGTTTTATTTAGGCTCCTATACATTTTCCATATTTATAAATTACGTTTTTACTAAAGCTAATACTTTCCTATTAAAATTAAAGGCAATTATTTTATATTTTCTTGAATACTCACCAGAATTGGTAAAGGTTATTTCATAAAACATAATTAGATGTTATTTGCATCTATAATTAATTACCATGAAGTTTTCTTTGTTCTTACCAGTTATAGATAAAGTGATAAGTTGCTCCCCATAGTTATTTTATAAATAGTAGAAGGGACGTAACTCAGTAAATAGTAATCATAAAATAGTTGAATAGAAATATTTATATTGAATATTAATAATGTTGATATAGAGTCCTTTCATATGACGTCACGTCCGTTCGTGATACCTACGCCCGCCGCCACAGTGGTGTACACAAGACGTAAACACAATCAGCTGTTCGCCAGCGCTGGACGTGTTCACCAGCGCTGGACGCGTTCACTGTATGTAAAGAACCGCACCCGCGGAAAAGGAAAAATACGTTTAAAAACTTGAACTCTTAGGAATTGAAGATCCTTATACTGTTATTGACAGTTTCGTATAAATAAATATGTGGACAAAATTTCTAAATAAAAATACTGTTAGTAATACTGTTTGCGTTTAGAGTTAAAGTAGCCGAATCTGATCAAATGCAGTTCTCGATACTTTGTTTCATGTAAGGACAGTAAAATAATAAACTTCATTTTAATTATAAAAGATAACTATTAATAAAACAAATATGCTCGACCTTCACAAATACTAATAGTAAAAGACAAAGTCAAAAGTAATATTATAGGCTAATAAGAATAACAAGATCTAATAGTAGGCTTATACCTGGCTCCGCTGGGTAGACATAGAATCTAGAATCTACTTCTTTACTTAAATTTAATTACTTTAGATCTACATTCGATTCAAAATACACCCATAATAAATCAAAAGTAGTCATAATAGGCCTAATAAAGCATTTAATTGTCTCTAAGATCTAAAATCTCGCTCTATTATCTAATCATTTTTAGCAAACGAAATTTTCTGAAATTGAAATAGATTATATGACTAGATTTAGATCTAGAATCTGCTACTTAAATTAAATTGTAAAAACTTTATACAAGCATGTAGTTGATATTATTGTAGTAGAAGGCTTTAATAAATTACTAAGGCCTACCTACTTTGTTGTCTTTTTACAGCAATATGTATCTGATACTGGACTGAGTTTAATTAAATTCAAATTCATATCTAGTAATTGGTCTACTAAGTTTTTGTAGCCTAGTAGTACAATCTAGATCATACCAGCCAACAACAAATAACCACATTATTATTATTAGGTTAATGATTAGGCTAATTTTTTTTTTTAAATCCACTGTTTATAAAAGAAACAAATCAAGCTAGAAACATTATAAGTGAGATGGTTTAGAATAATAACAATGGACCCAGTCTACAATTGATACAATTGCAGGTCTACATAGGGCCTACAGTCTAGTAGTTTACAGTAGGCACCTAGTGTGTAGCTAGTATACTAGTGTGTAGCTGTCCAGAGTTAAGATTCTTAATGCCTTAATGCTTTCCCCTGATAAGCCGTGTGTGCTATAAATGACATAACATGACACCGAGGTGAGAAGTGTTGAGGGGAGAGCAGTGGGACTTTCCCCTTTGTTCTCCCTGCTGGGCCCTGAGGGTCAAAATTATATAAGAAATACTATCTCTGTGGGGCTGGGTATCACGGAGGTGAGACATTTTCAGGGGAGGGCAGGGCAGACTCCTCTTTGGTTTTATTGTGGGCTAGATACAGGTGGGGGCAGCCATCATGACGGTTGAACGTCAGTATTAATGTGTCTGATTACTTCCCTGCTGGATTATAAGGGTCTTAAATTGTATAACATGCTACCCAGATTGGTTATTACCCATGGATTATATTAGCCGTTGTAGTGTGGGTTTTGTAGGAGTTAAGTGGTCTCACGTTTGCTACAGTAGATAACCTCTAATATATTACTGCATTTGATCAGCTTCGTCTACTTAAACTCTAAACGCAAACGGTATTACTAACAGTATTTTTATTTAGAAATTTCAGCCACATATTTATATTATCCACGAAACTGTCAATAACTGTATAAGGATCTTCAATTCCTAAGAGTTCAAGTTTTTAAACGTATTTTTCCTTTTCCGCGGGCGCGATTCTTTACATACGGTGAACACGTCCAGCGTTGGTGAACACGTCCAGCGCTGGCGAACAGCTGATTGTGTTTACGTCTGATGTACACCACTGTGGCGGCGGGCGTAGGTATCACGTGATTTAGGTCACGTGTTTGCAAGGACTCTATACACACACGCGCGCACACACACACAAACGCACACAAACACACGTTTCGCGTCTCCCCTAACGTCCGTGCTTCCCAAGGTTGGCGCACGTTCCAAAAGGGGGGAGATGGGGTGAAGGAGGGGTCCGTAATTTTGTGAAGGTGTGTGAAGAAGGGATGGGGGTTCAGATAGTGTGGCGTCACACTTTTGCTTTAAAAAAAAGTAATGTTACAAAAAAAAAGAATTTTAGCGGTTATTTCGCGTTTTAGAAAAATGTTTTAATAAATTGTAATAGACATTGATTAAAATAAAACACTCTAGTGCCGATTTATTTTATGAGGCTATCAAGGTGTGCTAATATAGAGACACAGACATGTTAATTTACTAGAGCAAAAGTTCAACGTATTACTCAGACAGTAGCTAGGGCATTGTCTCAGCCGGTTTATCAGACGACACACAGCTAGATACGGTAGTCACGTGATCGACACAAGTGTGTAGTTCGGGGTTACAATTTCGTGAAGCGGGTTATCGATTCTTTATGTCACAATGTTTAGTCAGCGTTGACCGGAGTCATAAGTTTTAAACTGCTGACACTGTCACACACACTCGACTCCGCTAATTGCGATTCGGGGCAGATATCGGGTGCCCCACTTTGATTCGGGGCAGATATCGGGTGCCCCACTTTGATTCAGGGCAGATATCGGGTGCCCCACTTTGATTCGGGGCAGATATCGGGTGCCCCACTTTGATTCAGGGCAGATATCGGGTGCCCCACTTTGATTCAGGGCAGATATCGGGTGCCCCACTTTGATTCAGGGCAGATATCGGGTGCCCCACCTTGATTCGGGGCAGGTATCGGGTGCTCCACCTTGATTCAGGGCAGATAAGTTGCAGGTAGCAATGTCGGTCTTAGTGCGGGCTTATTTAAAATCAAGCCATTAAGGCGATATGGCGGTTGCATCAAAACCAAAGTAATTACATAATTGACAATTAATTAAATGCTCACAGCATCGTGAGGATAATAATGGAATAAAATGAAAACTGCTGACGCCATTTAGGTTTATTTTTAGCCTAGTTTCCGATGTCGTCAGGTCAAATACGTCAAAATGTCATGTGATGCGTGTAGTGAGTGACCAAGTAAAGAGTAGAGCGAAGGGGGGGGGGGGGGGAGAGCAATACACGAATCATGACTAATTATCTAGGATAAAACGTTAATAGTAAGTTAGTATTTATTTATGCACTAAAAAGAAGATAATAGGAAGGATTTTCTTTTATTAACATTTTGTGTTAACTTAATTTTCATTCATTTTACTTTCTCGTGTACAGAGTATAGAGGAAGTATTGTAATCGTGCACAAAAATCACATGAAACGTTGGCAGTTTTCATAGTTTTACACCTCAGAACTTCATCATATACGGAGCATATGCGATTTATTTTAATCGGGCAAAAATAATAAATGCAGATTGATAAAATTTTCAGCGTTCTGTGCGTAATCGAGTCGGAAAAAACTGGGCTTTGCAATTCTGTTCGTATGTCTGTGTGTGTGTATGTCTGTGTATGTCTGTGAACACTTGAGTACCGTTACAGCTAGGTTGATGAAGTTTCATATACAAGTATTATATAAAAATTTTATATCTCTGTAAACTTTCAAACGATTTCCATAACCGGAAATAGAACTTATTCTACTTTCAATTTTTCAAAAGCCTATAACTTGAGCACTGTTTCAGATATATAAATGAAATTTCACATGTAAGTAAAAGATTTAATTTTCTGCCTTCCCCCCGTAGTGTTATATAAGAATGTTCAAGGAAATTTAGGGGAGATCACTCCCGGTTTATTTTATACATAGTAGGCCTACATAGAAAGCCTGAGCCGTTTACGTTGTAAGAGACCGTGTTCCCGTAAAGGTGAGCGATTGAACGACAAGCTTGACAATAGTGATCCAAACTGACCGCTAGACCTGTGTTATGTCCTCTCTTGATAAGGCATGTACATACATATTTAAGTTTTACAACTAATTACTGGGCTATCTTCATAAAACTAATGAGTGAATAACAAAGATAAATAAACCGGGAGTGATCTCCCCTAAACTTTCTCGAATATTCTTATATAAAATAACAGGGGATGGGAACTCAAGCTATAGACATGATTTTTAATCCATTTTAAATACTTAAAGTTTTAAAAATACAATAAAATCTCGTAGACAAATTTATTGCACACCAAGTGAACGCCAAATCAAAAAGTGCATAATAGTGCGCAATATTATTAGTACTTTAAAAATTTACATTAGTTTTTTGAGAAATCGGAAGTAGCGTAAATTACTACTTCCGGTCAACGGAAATTACTCAAAATTTATTAGAAGGTAGAGAATTAGATCTTTTACTTACATGTGAAATTTCATTTATCTATCTGAAATAGTACTCAAGTTATAGGCTTTTGGAAAATTCAAAGTAGGAAAAGTACAGGTTCCGGTTATCGGAAATCGCTCAAAAGTTGATACGGATCTACGATTTTGATAAAATACTTATATATGAAATTTCATCAACCTAGCTGTAACGGTACTCAAGTTATCGTGTTTACACACGGATACACACACACACACACACACACAGACGCACAGACATACGGACAAGATTGCAAAATTATGTTTTTCCGTATCACGGGCAGGGGCAGATGGAATCAGTGTTTCTTCCAGACTTTTCTCTCCGGGGTGGGGGGGGGCACTTGAAAATTTCGGGGTTTTGGAAAATTTGCTTTGACATTTATGTGGAAATGGACATTGTATGTACATCTTAGTGGTTCTAAAGAAAAGAAAAACTTTTAAAAGTTATATGACTTTAATGAAGTGTGTTCTTTTCTTCTTCAAGGTGGAACTATATACCAGGAAAAAAACGAAACAAAACTTGTTCTTCCTGAAATCCATGAATATCAACATTAAAGATATAGATACAAGATGGGCATTTTTAGATTTTAGATATTTGAACGCTTTAATTTTTAAAACATCAAAATGTTATTTTTAAAGGCGAAATTCATCCCCGATGTCTTAGTCAATGGTCTAGCTAAAATAAACGTATGTTTAATAAAACAATCAGTAGCTGAAGTCGAAAAATGTGTTTTTCTTATCTTTCTATGGTTTTACTGTCCATTACCTGTCTGTTTCTGTCAAATGTAAATATTTTTTACCAACTTTACAATCGTTTGTGTTTTATTAGATAAGTTAGACCAACTTAAGAATTACCTATCCTTCAACCCGATGCATGTATTTTATTGTATATTGTATTGTTCGTGGCATAACTTTCAGCCTTTCGTTGTTTCAAAATCCTTTTTTTCTATCTAAAAGGTTTTTGTAAGGTTTTTTTCTACCAGCTCTAATAAAATTGTGTACGGTATTTAGACCATAGCTAAACTATGCGGAGACAATCTAAAATTCCGTAGGTTAGATTTACCCAAACAAAAATTGGCAGATGTTATAGACGTGGAAGATTAAAATATTTTAACTGGTATCTTTAAAGATTCCTTTCCAGGTAAATATACATTTACAGTATAAGTTAAGACGGTAATCTATCGCTTTAGCGTAATCAATTCGGCCGTCACTAGTAATGTAGGGATAAGGTAACTATCAATCAAATATGGCTTAGATGTGAATATATTTTTGCATATTTTACTAAAATACTAAAGATAATTGAATATTAAACCACATTTAAGGTTTAAATCAATAAAAATGTCATGAAATTAAGGTTTAACATCGATGTTCCAGATACTAAATTTGCTATTAAAAACAGCGGCCATCTTAAGAAAATATTATTTTGAGTCATTTCCCTTTAATTTCTATTTGTATGGAAATGTATTGATGTTTGCTATTAAATACGTTAGTCTTGTGTTTAAATACAAAGCATGCGTTTTTTTTTAAAATTCTGCCCTTTAAACAATTTAATTGACTGACAATAAACATCAGTTCTAGAATTATTTAATTATTATTATGAGATGCAATTTTGACACATTAAGATACTCCCTATTTTTATAGAGCTACCACTACATATCTAATGTTTATTTAAATATTAGTTTGAGTTAATTCTTATTGTTTATGTTATTGTTTGTTTGCTATTTTCATGTAATATTTTCATGCTTTTTTCCTTTAATTAGTGATTTAATCATAAATGACGTCCCGTTTTTTTACCTTTCTTCACCTTAACACCCCCCCCCCCCTCATTTTCGCCGTTACGAAATAGTCGTAATGTCGAAAATTACCTTTTTGCCCTGCCTGTTAAAAAGTCAAGCCATAATTCTAATGAAAACGATATATTCAGCATTTTTGTATTTGGCGAAATACATAACGTTTCACGTTTCTTGCCCCTCCCATTTCCCGCGTAAAACGTCGTCTCAAAACCAGTTACTCCACCCCTTAAGTGTGCGATGTCATTTATGGTAGATGTCAAGTCCTATATACATTTTGAATAACCTTTGTTGTCAAAATGTTGATACCAAATACCCAAAATGAGTTATATGGTGTTATCCATAAACGATGTCACATATGCTATGCTAATGTGCCGTCAACTTACGCAGGGTGGTCCGGGGGGGGGGGGAGATGCGTCTATTTTGGAATCTTCTTTAAAGCTGTGCTCAATGAAATTGAGGAACATAAAGCGTTCGTTTTCATGCATACATTTGTTCATAACGAATGATCATAACTATTGCATGCCTATTGTCCTAAGCGGTGTTTAACAACCTGAGCACATCATCCCCGCCAAAAAGGGCCTGCCACTAAATGCCTACCGACGAAAATAAGCCGCACTATATTGACTCCAAATGAAATAACTTCTGACAATAAGGCTCAAACCAAGTAGCTCCTGGCAACAATATTCGACAAGAGTCCAAGACACCATTAAGTGCCGCACCAGGTGACACTCGACCTCGCTACGCCACTGAACTAATGTAAAGCCACAGCTCAGTATTGGCTTAAATTTAACATAAAATAGTGTTAGCAGTGGACAGCCTCTAAGACTGTGCATTAGGAGTACGGCCGTCGGCAAAACGCCAGAGTCCGACGATATCGGAACATCAATTTTGTCTTTTATGAAGTGCGGAGCACCTTTAGCTTAAGACCTGAGCTTGGCCCCTGTTGACACCACCACTAGCGCCGCTTATGTCCACATATTAATCACACGTTTTGCGTGGAGCTTAATGGACAGACGTTTATAGGTGGGACCGGGAGCCTAAATGCATTTACCGAAGCCGCTGTGTCACGGGCATTTTAGAGCCGAACATCTCAGGGCAGCATGTTGCAGAAATTAAAAGCACGTGAATTTGTATAGTAGAGGGAGAACATCATGCCACTGTAATAAATTAAACACCAATATAATTCACCGAACTAAAGTCATTTAGATCTATTCGTCAGGCTAAATGTCGCTAGTCTCATCGTCATAGTCATTTAGTGCCTGTTTTGATTTTTTTTTAATTACGCGGTATCTTTTTCTTAAACATTAGCCTAATGACAAATGACGTCACACGCGCTGCGAACTTTGTGACGTTGTGCTTATTGGGGGATGAAACGGCGTGGTATAGAAAAATGACGTATTTCTTTTTTTTTTAATTGATAGATTCTAATTTTCCTACGAACTATAGGTTCATCTAGTTTTTTTTTTCTAGAGGGAGATATCACTATATTGTGATGGGGGGGGGGGGGGGATTTATATATAATCTCAATATATTCTGATTTGCTACTATTCATACGGCAACCATTATACTCGTGAGGAGGACGGGAATCACTCTTATGTTCCGCAGACACTAATTAACAATGTCAACAACTTCGTTTATGAAATAACATGAACTTTATTAACACACACTTATAGATCATTTGTACAATATCAAAAAATACGTCCGTCTTCTACTATATCTAACCCCCAACTAACTTCACTGTTGCGTCTTACGTCATCGGTACATTGTCGCACCATGCTCACGTCACACTCACGCCACACAAATTTTATTGAACACGCGCACAATACTCTCGCACCAAATCGTCTACTGTCAAGTTCGTACCGTCCTATGGTAACCTCTACTCGTCTAGTCTAATTCTATATATCTACGCTATGACATATATAGTGGGTGGTTTTTTGTTGTTGTAATAATGTGTGGTGGGGAGGGGTAAACATTGACTACTGAAGAAATAAAAAAACTGATGATAGCAGAAGGAAAAAAAAAAACCAAAAAAAAAAAACAAACCATGTGGTATTCAAATGTAACTAATTAAAATTTGAACCTATTTTAAAAAACACAATAATCTTAATTCAGAAAAGGTGTAGGCCTAAGACTAATGTCTACAGACAAAAAAACAACTAGGCTTAATTAAATGGATCGCCCATAAATGACGTCATACTTTTCCCGACGATTTCCCTCTCACCCAATAGTTACTAAAAGCAAGATGATGATTTAATATCATATCGCAGTTCTACTATACCCGAACCCTTAATCACAATTTCTAACGAACACGAATATATTCTTCATCATTTTTGAAAAAATATTTTACACCGTCCCATATTTTGAGTCCAACGTCATTTATGAAGAATATGGACGACCTAATAATTGACAAGTTAATCAGTACAAAAGGGTTTAATAAATGTTGGACCTCCCAAAAGTCTTTGAGATCTTGGATGTACATACATACATACATAGCCTTAATTTCAATTGAAATTAAAGATAAGAAGACGGCCCTCTGTCCCACTTTTATTAAACAAGACAGCTATGTATATTCAACAACAAAATCAACACAATATACATACGAATAGACATGTGTATCAAGGGAAACTACTCTAAATTTTATTTGGAAAGATGGCCGCTGTTTTTATCTGCTAATATTTATCTCAAACACCTTGTTTAAAGTTAGTTTCATGATATTTTAAATTGTTTTGGTCAGTGATTGTTATATTAAATCAATTATCTGTTATGTTTTGTAACATTTGACTTAAATTATACTTATTTAAACAAATATATTCATCAGTTACCTCTCCCGCACATTTCTACTGCAGCCGAATTGATTACGCTAAAACGATAGATTACCGTTAAGACACTAAAAAAGAACGTAGTCACAATTCTTTATATAAATATAGCCGGTAAAATCTTAGTTAAGTTTAGCGTCGTAAATTCGGCCAAAACTAGTAATGTGGGAGAGAGTGAATTAATGAATACTATATTTATTATTTTAGTTAGGCTTGTAAATACTAGATCTAGTAAATAGAAATAATAATACTAATACTAGATCTAAACTACTGTAACTAAACTAATGGACACCAACGAGTTGACGAGATTCCTTCCATAGACCATAATCTTGCTGACATGGAATAAAAACATGCTTTTTAGATTTAGACCGTAAAAAAAATTAAAACTTAAGCCTAACATTAATTTAGAAATTTTATATTTTTAGAATAAATGCTTTAAAGAATAAAAGTTGCAAATCCAGAGAACTTGAAAATAATTTGTTGAGTTTAAGGTTAAGGCTACATTTCTATTTATTTTCATCAAGCCTAAGTTATAACCGGATGTTTCACTTTCGTAAGACAAATATTGATTGGCTGTACAGCAACTTAGTGATCGATAACTATTTGTTTACAAAACTTTGCAGATCAAGTTTTTAAATAACAATGCAAATTTAAAACCCCATGACCTAGTTTTCTATTTTTAGCTTACAATGTGTACAATAAAATTTATGGCGGCCTATCCAATAGCAGGATACCATTGTTTATGTCGCCATTACATGTGAAAACCAAATTGTTTTTGCTTTGTTTTAAATTTTTATTTAGTTACCGAAAATATTAAAAACATCAAATACATCCAATCTTTAGTAAAGTCCGAAAAAAACCAGACAGGCAGGATTTTATAACCATATTAATTGTAACTACGCTGTGCATGATTTTTAAATTAATTTATGGACCTCTCAAATACCTTTGAGACTTTTCTCGCTGGTGTTCATTAAATTAAGCCTGGCTAATCCGTTAGGCGTTAGTAATCGGTAATCTATCGTTTTGGGTACATAAAATTAAAATCGCCTGCGGCTATTAATGTACAAAAACGTTTCCTTGAGTCATTGTCAAGGCTTTAATATTATTAAATATTACGCCTATTCATTAAATTGTAGGCCTACCTTATTATTATTTTATTTATAAACAATACCCATGAAAACTAGAGATCTAGGGTAAAGGAGGGCGTTAAGAGCCACACTTTTTAGCACCTGTACATTTTTAAAGATTTCTACTAATAACTAATCTAAGAATTTTTTAGTATTGAAAATATGGCAAAATTATTCTAACATATCTGACACAATATAAAAATAATAACAAAGTCTATTAAAATTACTTTAAATTGGTTTAATTGAACATTTATTGTCATACCCCCAAATCAGTAATTGGGGTATTAGGAGTCGGGCAATGGGGCAATAAGTATTATCTCCTAGTTTAGACTAACTCCACAATAAAAATAATTAATTTCTAACCCCAAAATAGTTAATGCTGTGTACACACACTTTAACTGATAC